CCGAGACAGGGGAGACCCTCTGAACCCCAGAGGGAGAGACCAGAGAGGGAATATCCTGGGAGAGATTTTTTTGGGCTAATCTTCAGAATTGGGCGTATATTTAAACTGAATCTCGACTTTTTGCTGTTTGGGGTGTGGGGATCTTCTTGCTATTTCTGAAAAGTTTTTACCTGAATCTCGGTGGTTTGGGTTTTTCTGGGCTAAATCTTGGTGTTTTGGAGGTTTTTATGGTCCCAGGATGCCCGGTGAGTTCTAGAGATGGACTTGGGCGGGAGGAACCCCCAAGGAAATGCACTTAGCCCTCGTTTCCCCCCAGCAGGATTTGTCCTTCCCAAAGTTTGGGAGGATGAAGGAGGAGAGGAGGAAAAAGCGTGGGCCCCTCAGGCAGGTGAGGAGGAAGTCAGTGCCCCTTTGGCCCTGTCTTGTGGTGCACGTGAGGCCTGGATCTGGGGGATGTCCTTGACCTTCCCTCTGGGCCGGAGGCAAATCCTCTGCCTGTCCTTCTTCCTTCCTGCCCCAGACCCCGAGCTGAGGACGGAGAGCACGGAGGACAAATCCCCCCGGCAGAGCCTGGTGGGAGAGGCCGTTTTGAAGGGCTCCCCGGCGCAGGAAGGCAGCGGGGAGGAAAAGGCCCGGAGATGCCCCCGGAGGAGGGGCTGCAAAGCCAACCCAGGGAGCTCTGAGGAGGAAAGACCCGTCCTGTGCCAGGAAGGTGGCCAGAGCTTGAGCCGGAGCTCCAACCTGGAGGTCCCTGAGTAGCCTCCCAGCAGGGAGAAGCCCTTCAGGTGCTTGGAATGTGGGAAGAGCTTCAGGAAGAGCTCCAACCTGATCCAACACCAGCACATCCACACTGGGGCACGGCCCTACTCATGTAAGGAATGTGGGAAGAGGTTTCAGAGCAGATCACATCTCCTCATTCATGAGAAGACACACACAGGGGAGAGACCCTTCCTCTGCACTGACTGCGGGAAGGGCTTCAAGCTGAACTCCCACCTTGTCACCCACCGGCGCATCCACACCAGAGGAGAGGCCCTACAAGTGTGGGGAGTGTGGGAAGAGCTTCAGACCAGATCTGCACCTTGATGCGACATCAGAACATCCACACTGGGGAACGACACTACAAGTGCTTGGAATGTGGGAAGAGGTTTAGGGACAGCTCAGATCTCCTCAGACATGAGCTGATACACACAGGGGAGAGGCCCTTCCGCTGCACCGACTGCGGGAAGGGCTTCAACCAGAACTCCACCCTTGTCAGCCACCAGCGCATCCACACCGGGGAGAGGCCCTACAAGTGTAGGGAGTGTGAGAAGAGCTTCACCCACAGCTCCCACCTGACCAGACACCAACGGACCCACCGGTAAGGGAAGCCCTAGGAGTGCCCCGACTGCGGGAAGAGCTTCGGCTGCTGCTCCCACCCTGAATGACCCCCTGATGGTGAGGCAACCCCTGGAGTCCAGTGACTGTCAGTCCATCCCTTTCCACCAGAAAGGGCCAGTCCCCTTTGCCAGGGGCAGGTTGTGCCAACAGATCCCTTCTTGGGGGGTGTGTGGAGATTCCTGCCTTGGCTGGGTCCCCCCAAGGTCAGTGCTGGAGGTTGAGAGCAGAGATCTCCCCACGAGCGTTGGTCTGGGGGAGTTCCATCCCTGTCTAATTCTTAATTCTTTCTTTGGTGCCAGCTTGAGTAGAATTGCTTCAACAATTGCTTTAGTGTAGAGCACTGTCCTATCTTATGCTGTACTACTGGTAGTTTTAGTGTTTCTATTGTGTAGTAAATAATTCTGATGAAGATCTTTTGTCTGATCATTTGAAACCCTAAATAATTCATTTCTATCAATAGATTTGATTTGCCATCCTTAAAACCTGGGGGACAAAAGTGGTTCAGTCCCACCTCTGTAATTCCTGTGAACTGAACCTGCTGGCATAACCCAAGGCTGAGATTGGATCCAGCAGCCCCAGCACCCCACAGTCAGTTGGGAGCTCAGGGGACACCCTGCTTTCCCAGCACTTTTGGGCCCAAAGACCTCCATGGGATCGTTGGACCTGCCAGACCACCCTCCCTTTTCTGCCGTTCTCCCTTTTCCTTCCACTTTTCCATTGTCCCTTCAATCCCCAGCCCCTCCAAGATCAGTTTTGTGGTCCCAATCCCGACATTTTTCCACACCCCTTCTACATCATCCCCCCACTCCCCAGCCCCCTCATGCTCAGTTTGGGGGTCCCATCCTGCCCTTTACCCACTCTTCTAACCTCTCCTACCCTTTCCCCATGAACGTCAGTCCCTTTCCACTTTTGGGGGGTCCCTCTCCCCTCCCACTCAGTTTGGGGTCCCACCACCCCTTTTATCCCCTCTGAACCCCCTTTTCCCACCGACCTCCCCCTTCCCACCCCCCGCTCACCTGAGAGCTCCTCGCCCGCAGCCGGGGGGGCTCCCAGCACCACCAGTGCCCAGAGAAGCCCCCCCAGAAAATGGGTTGGGTGGGGTCCTGCGTGGACTTTGAGTGTGTTTAGGGGTCCTTGAGGGGCTGTGGGGAGGATTTTGGGGGGTCCCAGCACTTTTTAGGGTGAACTGGGTGCCTATTGAGGGGCAGGTGCCCTCCCAAAGCTCCCCCAGAGTGGGGTGACAGGGGGGGAACGCAGGGGGGTTCCCATTCCCCATCAATCCCGGGGCTGGTTCTGCCCCCCCAAACTCGGCTCCACCCCTTGGGATCCTCCAACCCCCACCCCAGTGCCCCCCAATAACCGGGACTGGAGCAACTGGGATCATACTGGGAGCACCTGGGCCCCTACTTGGGTCATACTGGGATCATACTGGGACTGACTGCAATAATACTGGGAGTGTGTGAGAGGGACTGCAGCCATACTGGGGATGAGTGGGGTCAAACTGGCTTCATATTGGAAGTGTATGGAAATTCCTGGGATCATACTGGGGGTGACTCTACTGGATCATACTGGGATCATACTGGGAGCAGCTGGTTCTATGCTAGGGGCAACTGGGAGCTCCTAGAATCCCACTGAGAGGAACTGGGAGCAATTGGGACCATGCTGGGCACGACTGGGATCATACTGAGAGCAATTGGGCCTACAGTGAAGATGGCTGCGGTCATACTGGGATTGACTGGGAGCATTCTGAGGGCAGCTGCGACCATGTTAGTGCAACTGAGAGGTACTGGGAGCAAGTGGGATCACACTAGAGGTGACTGGGATCATACTGGGACTGACTGGGAGCATACTGGGAGTGACTGGGAGCAGGATGAAGTCGACTGGGAGAGACTGGGAGTGACAGGGATCCTACTGGGAGGGACTGGAACTGTAGTGGGTGAGTGGGAGCAAGTGGGACCCTGCTGAGGTCAAATGGCTTTATACTGGGAGTGACAGGGAATGTCTGGGTTCATCCTGGCTGTGACTGCCACCATAGAGGGTGTCACTGGGATCCTACTGGAGTCATACTGGGAGGGACTGGAACTACAGTGGGGTGACTGGGGAGCAACTGGGACAATGCAGGGAGTAACTTGGATCCTACTAAGAGAGACTGGGATCATACTGGGACTGACTGGGAACATACTGGAGGCAACTGGGCTATACTGGGAGTGGCTGGGAGTTATGGGGATAATACTGGGAGAGACTGGTACCATAGTAGGGGTGAAGGGGAGCAACTGGAACCATGCTGGGGGCAACTGGGATCATAGTGGGAGCAGCTGGGCCCCTGCTGGAGTCTTCCTGGGGTCTTACTGGGAGTGACTGCAATAATACTGGGAGTGTGTGGGAGGGACTGCAGCCATACTGGGGATGAGTGGGATCAAACTGGATTTGTACTGGAAGTGTCTGGAAGTTTCTGGGATCATACTGGGGGTGACTGAACTCATACTGGGATCATACTGGGAGCAACTGGGACCATGCAGGGGGCAAATGGCATTGTCCAGGCAGTGCCTGAAAGTGCCTGGGGCCATCCTGGGCTCAGACTGGGAGTCCCTGAGAGGGAAAGGAACCATCCTGGGGGGGCTGGGAGCAACTGGGACCACGTTGGGGGCAACTGGGACCCTACTGGGAGTGACTGGGATCACAGTGGGAGTGACCAGCACCATACTGGGATCATAGTGGGAGTGACTGTAAGGGACCAGGATCAAACTGGGAGTGACTGGAATTACTCAGAGGGGAACTGGGAGCCAGTGGGGCTGTACTGGAAGCCAACTGGGAACATACCTGGAGCAACTGGGATCATGCTGGAAGCAACTGGGAGTAACTGGAAGTGACAGGGTGCATGCTGGAGGCAACTGGCATCAACTGGGAGTGACTGGGATCACAGTGATGGGAACTGGGACCATCCTGGGGCAAGTGGAAGTCACTGGGTGTCAGGGGTTTCTGTGGGTGGGTTTTGGTAGCGGGGGGGGCTCCAAGGGTGGCTTCTGTTGGAAGCTGCCAGAAGCTTCCCCTGCCCCGTGGAGCCAATGCCAGCTGCTCCAGGACGGACTTGCTGCTGCTGGCCAAGGCCAAGCCCATCAGGAGCAACAAGAACAGCTCTGGGATAACAGATTTAGGGCCAGAAGGAATTACAGCCAGGGAAGAGCAGAGTGGGAACGTGGGAACAGACCCCAAGGGTGGTGCAGAAGGAGGGGCAGGAGGTGCTCCAGGCGCCAGAGCTGAGGTCCCACAGACCCTGGGGGAGCATCGGGGTGCAGAGACCCCCCTGCAGCCCCTGGAGGCTCCCATGCTGGAGAAGGGGGATGCAGGAAGGAGGCTGTGACCCCAGGGCAGGCCCAGGATGGAGCAGGTCCTGGCAGGGACCTGCAGCCCGTGCAGAGGGAAGCCCAGGCTGGAGCAGGTTTTTCCCGCGCAGGACTCGTGGCCCATGTGGGGGACCCATGCTGGGTCAGCTCATCCCTGAAGGACTGACCCATGGAGGAGGGACCCACGGGACAGCAGGGTGGGAAGAGCTGCTGCCTGAGGGATGGACTCACTGCAGAGGTCCATCCAGGACTGTCTCCCATGGGAGGGACCCCACAGGAGCAGGGAAGGATCCAACTCCTCTCCTTGAGCAGTGACAGAAACAACAACTGAATGTAACCCCCATTCCCGTCCCCCTGCACTACTGGGGGGAGGAGGGAGAGCTGAGAAGGAAGGAGGGGTGTGGGGAAGGTGTTTTTCAGATTGTTTTATTTCTGACTCTTTGGCTTTTATCCTATTAGTAATAAATTTAAGTTCTATCCCTACTTTGAGTCTGTTTTGCCCGTTAGGAAGTGACTTTCTCCCCACCCTTATCTCTACTCAGGAATCCTCAGCTGTTTTTTTTCTCTCCTCTGTGGAGCTGCAGAGGGAGGGGGAGGTGGCAGCTTTTAGTGCGTGTTTGAAATCCAGCCAGGGTCAACCCACTACACCAACCCATGTGCCTGAGGCCCTTTTGTGATGTCACAGCCTACCCTCTCCATTCTGGAATAGCCCTTGGCAACCAAAGAACCAACACCCCACCAGGGCAGAATGCAGCCCCACCCATGTGCCCCTTTATGATGTCCCGGCCCGACCTCTCCATTCTGGAATAGCCCCTGGAAACCAAAGAACCAACGCCCCACACCCCCACAGTGCAGCTCCACCCATCTGCCATGGGACTCTTTGTGAAGTCACGGCCTTTCCCCCAGGAAAGCCTGTAACCTTCGGGTTTCAGGTGCAGTTGGATCCTTGTATGAAAGACAACCCTCCATTAAATGACGGGTTATCTCACTAGGATCAAATGCCTGTGCTGGTATGAAGTCCCAAGTAATGGGAGGTGCCACACGCCCTATCCATTTACCAAAATCTTCCCATGCTCCTTGCCAGCCAGGAACTGCCCCTTTCAAGTCCCTTTCCAAAGCTCCAGCTAATCCCTTCAAGGTTCGGCCTTTCCTGTAACAAGGAAACCAGCATAACACAATCCTTCCAATTCTAAATAATATGTCCATCACCTTCATTTTTAACAAAATTGTTGCCATACAATTCAAATAATAATTAGAGGCAACAATCTGTTTGGGAATCTCTATCATCCAGCATTTAATGTCAAGGAAGGAGTAATACCTGTCCCAAATATCTCTCCAATTGAACACCGTTGGATCTGGATGTTCCCACATGAAGAAGCCCAGAAAAGGTGTGAAGGCTGCTAGAATAACATTGAAAATTAAGAAAGTGGACATTATTTATATAGTTATTTTCACTGTTCCTAAACAAGAGGTTTATTTATATAAACAAATCCCTCTTGGCAGCTCTCCCGGCACTGTTCCCAAACAAAGTTGATGTTTGGTAGAACTTGGCCACCTGCCCAGGAATTGTTACCAAAACAACCCACTGGTATCTCGGTGGAACCTCCAAAAAATGTCCCAGGTTGTACTTGGCTCCCAGCCAAGCACCCGGACCACAGGGACAAAACCTTCTCCCTCCCTCTCCCTTTCTCCCAGCCAACCGAAAGGATCACAAAAAAGAAATCAAAAGAACCCAAACTAAATTGAATTCAAATGGAACATTTATATATATAAATAGATTTATATACACTATAACACCCACAGGGAACCCCCTAAAAGGGAAAAGGGAAGGGAAAAGGCACACAGGTGGGCCTGCACTCTGGGGGAGTGGGACTTGTATTCTTTGGTTTCCAGGGGCCATTCTGGAATGGAGAAGATAGACCACGGCATCATAAAAAGGCCCAAGGCACACGGGTGGGGCTCCACTGTTGGGATGTAGGGCACTGGTTCTTTGGTTGCCAACATCCATAGTCGAATGGAGGGGATATGCCCTGACATCACAGATGGGCACAGGGCACATGGCTTG